TTTTTTCGTCATCTAAATATTTTAAATGTAACTATTTTGTTGTTTTGAAGACTCCTTTGACTATAGAGCAATCGATAATTATTTCTATCGCAGGACAATGATAATACATACTTATATTCAAAATTTCAAGCAGATCCCTTCATTATTGAAGGAGGTATGACTGGGTTCGGTTGAGAGAAAAGTTAGGTTGTTCGTTTTGAGTCCGCAGGCGAGTTCGCTGCGGCATGCGGGTCCGGTGGAGTGTTGATTTGGTGGAAACGAGGGAGATTGGCGAGCTCGATAGGCAGCAACGCTCCTAGAAAATGAGTTGTAATAATAATAATAGCGGTTTCAGCGTTCAGTAGGCCGTAGGCCTGTCGCCGATTCTTAACATAGCAGAATATTCACAGCTTGTTGCGGTCTCGAACGCGCAACTCGCTGATTCAATTTTTCTGTGCTTAACCGCCCGGCCTCCTTGCCGATTCTGACCAGAAACTGGCGATCTGAGCTGGGATGAGCGAGACCGCGCCTCTCTGCTCCAATCTTGGTACTCTGAACTTTAACCACTGGGCCACAGTTGCGGGGGTAACTCGAGGAAATATATACACATGGCTGCTGCAAGCTAAATCTTTTAATGTGGTTAAATTTGAGCTCACTCAAAACAATATTTCAAGAATAAAAATAAAAATTTACACAAAGTTTTTATTCTGTGGCAGATGGAATAGTTACTGCATGAACGCTATAAAAATTCGCCCCAAAATTCATACCTAAAGTGTCAGAGCGGGAGCGGGACGTTTCATGGCCGATGGTCTTTGACTGGTCATTGAGTCATTCTCACTGCAGTTAATGGCCAGTCTTTGATCCAGCCTCACTGCAGTTCGTGGTCAGTCGTTGATCCAGTCTCACTGCAGTTCGTGTCCAGTCTATAGCCCAGTCTCACTGCAGTTCGTGGTCAGTCTTTGATCCAGTCTCACTGCAGTTCGTGTCCAGTCTATAGCCCAGTCTCACTGCAGTTCGTGGTCAGTCTTTGATCCAGTCTCACTGCAGTTCGTGTCCAGTCTTTGATCCAGTCTCACTGCAGTTCGTGTCCAGTCTATAGTCCAGTCTCACTGCAGTTCGTGGCCAGTCGTTGATCCAGTCTCACTGCAGTTCATGGTCAGTCTTTGATCCAGTCTCACTGCAGTTCATGGTCAGTCGTTGATCCAGTCTCACTGCAGTTCGTGTCCAGTCTTTGATCAAGTCTCACTGCAGTTCGTGTCCAGTCTATAGTCCAGTCTCACTGCAGTTCATGGTCAGTCTTTGATCCAGTCTCACTGCAGTTCATGATCAGTCTTTGATCCAGCCTCTCTGCAGTTCGTGGCCAGTCTTTGATCCAGTCTCACTGCATCCACCAGCGAGGACTAAGCCTACCAGCTCCGCCAGGAGTTAGTTGGGCCCTGAACGCCATAGCGTGAGGGTGCACATGGCGTCGCTGCCTCGAGTTGCCCTGGTTGACAGCAACTTTGATTGCGACTCAAAACTTCCTGTTTTCGGCCTAAAATTAGGAAAACTTTTAGAAAACTTGCGATTCTTGAAGAATTGCTGATGTGTTGTTTCCGAAAACATACCGGAATTCTGCACGAACGATTTATTCATAGGCAAGCGAGTGAACGTTTAGTTATGTGGACTTACGTTGTTACTAACAAGTTTATTCATAAGATGAATAAAACATTCTTTGCTAATATAGAATGAAAATAAAGAACGAACGCTTTTTATAAATTTATGTCGACGAATGGAATAACCAGAAAATTATGAATGAATACAATCCTGATGATGACATTCATTTTGGAGGAAAAATTCTCCTGAAATTTGATGAAGTTTATATTTTCCACTTATTGGGACGTGTTGTTATTGCAATTGTTTGCACTAAATTAATGAAAAAACAATATTCATTAAATCTAATCTGTTCACATCAACGAAAAATTCTGCGGTGCAATGTATTATTTTCGCTTGATATTGTGAAACTCATACATTTGTTCCGATCCATTTATACGTCATTGTACCTCTGGAGTTTTATTTTTTATTTTTTTTTAAGAGGATTCGACTAATATTTTCGTCAGATAGCATTGAATGAAAATATTTGCTGCATACAGGATACAAATTAAATTCTTGAATCTTTGTGTTTTGAAGGAAGTTTCAGACGGCACTGGAGAAGTCATTTAAACAATAAATTATATGAAAGTTAAGGTGCTAAGAAATTAGGCGATAATTCTAGAAGTATCTTTGAATATTTAAAATTTTGAGTATCGTAGAACAAGCACCAAAATACCATTCCTTTCAATATGTGAATTTTTTATGGCTTTGTAGGTACTTTAAAAAAGCGTCGAAAAAGAGTAATTTTGCAGTATGAAAATTACTGTGCCATTTTGCAATCCCTTGATTATAACTAACGATTCAGTACACGGAATGTGAAAATATCTTAAAAAATTTCGAAATATATGCAGCGCGTATCATTACAGTTTGCAAATATAATGTAAATATTCATTGGAATATAATACTCTGAATTTAGACAAGAATATTTACAGAATGGAGGAAGCTTGAACTTGTATTCTTATATCCATCGGAAAATTAGGATATTACTTTATTACTTTGCCAGCTTCGTACGTCGGTATGAATACTTCCAGCTTGGAGGGAGTTTAAAAGTTACATTTTAATATAATTCGGAATAGAATGCTCTGAACTTATGCTGGAATATTTACAGCGTGTATATATTCCAGTAAATTGAAAGTAATAATATAAAATTCATGGGAAAATAAAGGTCCTAAGCGCAGTACATGCGACCAGGGGCCATATTTTCAAAAAAAAGTTAAGAGATCGTAAGTTCATCAGCCAATCATTGACGGCCTTTGAAGCAAAATATACCAATCGTAGACAAGAAAATAGAGCGTAAGTACTTACGTTCACTTAGCCAGTTTTGAAAGTATGGCCCCAGGTTATCGACTTTAAGAATAATCGCTAGAGGTTAAGGGATTAAATCAGACACAGACGCTGGTGGGTGCCATTGCTGTCATTTTGGGCAATTCCCTGCAGATTAAAGACGCTAACGACCGTATCATTCTGACATAACTTCCCTTCTTATTAGCTCGGGGCAACCGCGTCAAAATTGCGTTATTTTGCGATACAAAATTGCAGGATTTCGTGCGTAAACGGTGGGGAGAATGGGGAAGACGTAGGGCTTCATGGATACACGGAGGGGAGGAAGGGGAAGACGCAGGGCTTCATGGATACACGGAGGGGAGGAAGGGGAAGACGCAGTGCTTCATGGATGCACGGAGGGAAGGAAGGGGAAGACGCAGGGCTTCATGGATACACGGAGGGGAGGAAGGGGAAGACGCAGTGCTTCATGGATACACGGAGGGGAGGAAGGGGAAGACGCAGGGCTTCGTGGATACACGGAGGGGAGAAAGGGGAAGACGTAAGACCTGTCTCTTATACACATCTAGATGTGTATAAGAGACAGNAGAGGTCTAGATCAGAGGTCTAGATCAGAGGTCTAGATCAGAGGTCTAGATCAGAGGTCTAGATCAGAGGTCTAGATCAGAGGTCTAGATCAGAGGTCTAGATCAGAGGTCTAGATCAGAGGTCTAGATCAGAGGTCTAGATCAGCGGTCTAGATCAGAGGTCTAGATCAGAGGTCTAGATCAGAGGTCTAGATCAGAGGTCTAGATCAGAGGTCTAAATGAGAGTACTAGATCATATTGGCCTTAATGATCAGTTAGATCAGTTTCTGGTTAGATCAGTTTCTAATTTGATCAACTAGAGTGAATGTTCAATAGATTGAATGTTTGACTATTTCAGTTGATAATGAGAAAATCAGATTCAACTGCCCGACGTTAGTTATGTTAGTCTTAATGAAATAGTTGGTAAAGTGGAAAATTTTATTAGTCAAGTTGAAAAATAATTTATTCATCATGCAGAGTGTGTAGTGTATATCGATAAATTAGTAAAATAATGGTGTGACTTATTTAATTTAATGTTCAATTTTTTAAGTATTTATTAAGTGGGACTTGGCGGAAGTTGAGAGAAGATTTAGTAAATAATTTAACTGATGTGGAAAATATACAATAGATGCATAATATTCATGATATAATGCATGCATCTATTACTCTATAGGAATAGAGTAATATAGAATATACGGAATACGGAAGTCCGTCAATAACCAGACAGGATTGGGAACATTACCGGACTGGAGTTAGAAATCCGGACAAAATCGAGTCCGGTTATGTACTCTGCAATTAGTTTGTACTTAAAAATCGGACACGAAAAAAAAAATTAACTACACTACCGGACATTCTAAAAAACGCCTGCCTTGCTAGGTTAGGTTTAGAGTTAAGGTTAGCTGTGCATAAAACCTTTCTTTACGTTGCGAGAGACCTTTTTACTCGGGTTAGGTCCAGCCAGGTCAAGTTTTTTTACCTCTTTTCACAATTTACATGGGTCATTGGGTAAAAAATAATCATAGTCCGGGTAATTGGGAATAACGTACTTAATTTACTGTGAGTGATTCTTCTTAAATTTATCTGTAAACTTTATACCAGTTAAATCAGAGGCCGTGAATTCCAATTCTGGTGCCATTCCAGAGATAAATTCCAAAACTCATTTAAGTTAACTCGAAAATTTCTGAACAAAAAATACGTTTGTGAAATATTTTCTCTGAAATTAAACAAATATGAATTGTGAACGAAACGAGCGAGCTGCAATGATGCTGTCTAGAAAGTATTTCAAGTCAACAAGCTTAAATTTGATGACGTTCTAATTGAAATAAGTGAGATAAGTTTATCTCCAACCAGCGCAGAGATAAAAAATTTTTCATTTCGCGGGATTTTATTTTAATAAAAAATAGTTCGATCGTTTCGGAAACAAGTTGTTCGCTCTTTAGGAAGTTTTCAATCTTGCCGTGTGCTTGATGTAATACGATCACACAATTCTAAATAATTAACTTTATGATTGTTTCAGGTTTCCAGACAAGCAAAAAAATTAACTTAAAACAGATTAAGCAATAGAAAGATCTCTAAAAATGGCGGGAGTTCAGTGTGCTCATTTAGCAGCCCTAATTTCGATTTTGATAAACATTGTCTATGGAGTGCAATGTCCATCTGAATGCCGATGCTCCTTGGACGACACAGGACGAAAAAAAGTCGCATGTCTTCATGGAGGTTTGAGAAGCACCGCATTCATCAGCAACATGGATGTAAATACACAAGTATTAATTATTTCGGGGCATCCAGAAAAACTGAACTACCTTAATCTTGGTCCCATATTCAAAAATCTTCGCGGGCTTGAAGAAATCCATATCATATGGTCAGGAATTCCAAACATTGGAGCCCATAGTTTCTGGGGGCTGAGTGAGGTAAAAGTGTTGAATTTAACGCATAATTCTTTATCTACTTTGATGGATTCCAACTTCAAAGGGTTAACATCTTTGAAACAATTAGATTTAAGTCACAATGGAATTGAGTCCGTGCCATCGGCAGTTTTTCGGTTTGTTCGACACTTGACTTACCTGAATTTATCACATAACAAAATTTTCAGTTTGGTAACGCGAATTTTTTTCGGCCTAACCAGGTTGGACGACTTGGATCTCTCCAACAACCCAATAGGGCACCTACAGCCAGAATTATTCAGTGACGTGCCAGTATTGAAGAAACTTTTGTGTGCATCTTGTGGTTTACGGAACATAAGTGATGGTATTTTCAGCAGACTCACTGAGGTAACGCACTTGGATATAAGAAATAACTTTTTGGTTAAGCTTCCAAAACGAGTGTCAATTTTAAATAATCTTGAGAAACTAATGCTCGATGGCAACCAAATACCAGTACTTGAAGACCGCTCTTTCTCTGGGTCCACACTAACATCACTGTCTTTGAGTTATAACAAAATATCTTTTGTAGAACCAAAGACGTTTCACAATTCATCCGTAACTCGTATAGATCTGTCATACAATCAGCTGGTGACTCTTCAAACCGAAGGATTCAACGAAGTTTTGCCGCAGCTTCTCGAGCTCAAACTAAATGGAAATCCCTTAATTGGTCCACAACTGAATCTTCTCTTCGAAAACACGAAACAGTTGACGCATTTGGGTTTAGGAGAAGTTGGTCTCACGAGAATTCCTGACATAGCACGAGCGCCAAACCTGCGTAGCCTGAATTTTTCGTCAAATTTAATATCAAACCTGCCAGAGTTTCTGTTTTTTGCAACACCTAACTTAAACGAGTTAGATGTGTCTTTCAACCAACTTGAAGAAGTTCACGAACAAGTATTAAGTAGAATAAGTATGTCTAAGACCCTGAGAGTGATCAGGCTAGAAGGCAACCCCTGGAAATGCGACAGATGCCACATCGTCCCCATGCTCAAGTGGTTACAAGAATCCCCCGACCAAGAGTCTGGGTGTTCAGAACCTCAGGTTTGGAGTTGCGTCAAGTGTGCTACCCCTCCCGCAGTGGCGAACCATCCCCTAGCCCTTCTACCTGCTGGGGATTTGCCGAAATGTTTGCTCGATATCACCACAACTACAGAGGTTAACGCAGGAATGGTAGGTGGTGTTTCTGTAAAGAGGTACCACAGTCTATCTCCACATGCGGCTAGTAATGGTTCCAATGTCGATTATATCGACAAACTGGATGAACTGAAAGTTGCTCCGTCATTAGCCGACAAATCTGTTTTTCCCGCAAACAAAATAACGAAGTCTGATAAGATCAAACACAATAACAATGACGATGTTGTTGTTGAACGCAAGGTGTCTTTGCCGTTGTTGGTAACTTTGCTTTCTGTTTTCTTCATCTCGTTGGTTGTGTTGATCATGTTGTGCGGTGCTCGTAGGAATAGCAAGAGGCTCATGAACGTAAACCACAACGTCGAGCAACGAAGAGAAAATTCGAGAATCTGGAAAGTTTTTCAGAGAAAAGGCAGCGACCAGCAAGGGGAGGATAAGAAAGAAATGGAAACAGGTTCGGGATTAGAACCCTCTTACCAACCCAGAAGAGGATCAGAACTTTCTTCTCCGTCAAAAAAGGGATCAGAGTCCCACACCCCACCGAAAGGGAAGGTGGATGGGGCGCGAGAAGTTACGGAACAAATGACCGAATTAAAACTCGACAAAGACTTGAGTGAAAGTTTTTTAAAAGCGTCGTTTGCCACCATTAGAGAAACGGAGCTTTTGTAACATTGCAATATATCTTCCTCGCACATTCTATGCGTGTGGATCTTATTATATCGTATGGGATACATTTTTATATCTCTTTAAAGTGAAGTTTGTGTCTATAAAATTAAGTTTGAGCTTCTGTCAACATAAAAAAGGATATAATCCGAAAAAAGTAGGGCAAACGTGAGATTTGTTCGAATGCGTGCACCCTAATATAATTACTCGTTAAATTGGATGCAGTTATACTTTTAATTGTACCTCTTCAGGGTAATTTGATGAACTTATACTTTTATTAAGTATTGCAGAAATCAATGTTGAATTTTTATGTTTATTAGTAATAGAAATGTTTTTAGACAAAATAAATAGATTATAATACGCCATGCATTTTTGGTCCTCAAGTGTGCCTATTATTGTATAGAAATTTAATATATTGATACCCACGATGATATCAACCTACACGGTGGCAAACTGGAGCCAGATTTTTTATAAGTTTTTCAATAATGCTGAAGAATTTTACTTGTTTTGATTATAAATTGTTCAAGCATTTTGCACATCAATTTATGTGCGCTCAGAAGAATGCTCAGAGTCAATCACTAATTATCAATTATGTCTAAAAATGGCTCTGGTTTGCGACAGTGTTCTTATAAGTTGTCCCTTAATTTATTTGTACAAAAATTGCAGATAAATAACAGTAGGTGAAGAATTAAATTTCGCGTAAGTTTTCATTCATTCCAGTAATATTAAGCAACTATCGGCAGGACTGTCACTGTAATTTTGTCAAATAAATTAAGTCTGAATTCTATTACAATACTAGGAAAATGCAAGTTTATTCATGTTATTAAATTTCTAGGATTATAGTCAATGAAAATAAAATCATTTTATCCATAGCTCGGAAATAACTCCTAATGATGTATATACATTTAATGTACCGCAAAATAAAGTTGACGTCGATTAGTTTTACTTCAGTTCTCAGTGACTCTTACTTTATTCATTTGTCGCGACTTTGTCCAGCTTGTAAAATATATTGTTGAAGGAAAGCGTACAGCGTGCACTGATTTCGAAGAAGGATTGAAGTTAAAAACTTTTTTAAGTCATAATCATAGCGAAATTAACTCTCATGGTTACATAATGATAACAAAGTATCGTAAGACCAACCTGTCAAATTTTATTAGATCCTTAATTTTTATATAAGAGCCCACTGGATATTATCCACAGTTCATCCCTTGCGAATAAAGCCACAGAAGTTTTCCATGGGCCTACTTATAGTAAAATTAAACCACAAAAATGGCGCTGCGCTGAACCCTTGACAAAACTGACTCAGAAGAGGCGAAGTCGAGGCGTTATATAGCATCCCCTTAATGCTTAATTAGTAGTGCGGTGTCTCTGGCGCTGCTTAATGAGGTCACTAACGAGCTGCGTTCTCCATCACAAACGAGCCATCGAATTAAACACCACCAGAAGCTAATGAGCTCGCGTCAAGGTTAATAAAAAAGTTTAAAATTCTGGATTCTTTAGAGGAAATTTTCATGGCTTAATTTGCTGTTCTTGGTAAACTTCAGAAGCAAATTAAGCTACAAATTAAAATCCAACGGAATTTTAGTTAAATGTTCAGTTTTTCAGTTCTTTAGGAAAATGATTACTGCCGAACAATACAAATAGCAAAGAAAAAGTAACTACAATTATTTTAATTACCAATAAGTAATTGATAACTTATTAATATTAATGGGAACAAATTACCTAGCTTTATGAATCAGACTTTCGTGTCATCATTTGCGTTGCTGCACTGTAACATGCTACATGTTGCCCATGTTGCTGCACTGTAACATACTACATGTTACCCATGTTGCTGCACTGTAACATGCTACATGTTAATCATGTTACTGCACTGTAGCATGCTACATGTTAATCATGTTACTGCACTGTAACATGCTACATGTTACTCACGTAACATGGTAACATGCTACATGTTACTCATGTTGCTGCACTGTTACATGCTACATGTTACTCACGTAACATGGTAACATGCTACATGTTACTGATGTTATTGCACTGTAACATGCTACATGTTAATCATGTTACTACACTGTAACATGCTACATGTTACTCATGTTACTGCACTGTAACAGGCTACATGTTACTCATGTTACTGAACTGTAACATGCTACATGTTACTCACGTTACATGCACTGTAAGCTACATGTTACTGATGTTGCTGTAACATGTAACATGCTACATTTTACCCATGTTGCTGCAACTTAGGATACAACATGTCAACAAAGTTAATGAAGCAGTAGTAATATCTGCCTCATTGGAGTATAAATCCATAAAAAACTTCACAAGAAACAATTGCAATATCAACACCTTTCTTTTCAAGTTTCCTAAGGTTAGTCGATGTAATGAAGCATTCAGCATTCGCTGCTTCAATAAAATGTAACACTTGGTGGCCTTTTTATTTCCTTCCTACGAGATGCTTCTATTTATCTCCTACGGGCTACTACTATTTCCCTCCTACGGGCTGCTTCTATTTCCCTCCTACGGGCTGCTACTATTTCCCTCCTACCGGATGCTTCTATTTCCCTCCTACGGGATGCTTCTATTTCCCTCCTACGGGCTGCTTCTATTTCCCTCCTGCGGGCTGCTTCTATTTCCCTCCTACGGGCTGCTTATATTTCCCTCCTACGGGCTGCTTCTATTGCCCTTTACGGGCTACTACTATTTCCCTCCTACGGGCTGCTTCTATTTCCCTCCTACCGGATGCTTCTATTTCCCTCCTACGGGATGCTTCTATTTCCCTCCTACGGGCTGCTAGTATTTCCCTCCTGCGGGCTGCTTCTATTTCCCTCCTACGGGCTGCTTCTATTTTCATCCTACGGGCTGCTTCTATTTTCCTCCTACGGGCTGCTTCTATTTTCCTCCTACGGGCTGCTTCTATTTCCCTCCTACGGGTTGCTTCTATTGCCCTTTACGGGCTACTACTATTTCCCTCCTACGGGCTGCTTCTATTTCCCTTCTATGGTCTGCTTCTATTTCCCTCCTACGGGCTGTTTCTATTTCCCTCCTACGGGCTACGTATATTTTCCTCCTACGGGTTGCTTTCATTTCCCTCCTGCGGGCTGCTTATATATCGTCCTACAGACTACTCCCATTTTCGTAGGCGCAGGAGTAACCGTCATTCATATATAACAAATGATTAAGCTCGTACTCTTCGAAGAATAAATAAGATTTAAGTTGACTTCTTGATCGCAAGAGATTAGATTTGTTATCCTTCTCGCAAAGCAGATCTTCATGCGCTCCAAGAAGGAGAAAAGTAAATTATACACTCATAGGTGAAGGTTTTAAGCAGAATATTGGTTAATGAGCTGTAAATGGTGCAAAGTTTGCTGGTTCTTGTCTGAATTCCATCGCGAACATTATACTCAACAAACAAAAACTTTTCAAAAAGTGTTCAGTTCGTATCACTATAAACATGACAGGACTACTTTCAAGTTGGTGCGTTAAAATTTAGTGTCGAAGATTAATTTGTTCGACTGCGGACATGACGAGGATACGGGCTCGTAGTTTCTACTCTAATTGCGCCGATCCAGGAATGGAAATTTGGGCGGGTTTAGGGTCCGGGAAGGTGAATATGGGTGAGTTTAGGGTCCGGGAAGATGAATATGCGTGAGTTTAGGGTCCGGGAAGGTGAATATAGGTGGGCTTAGGGTCAGGGAAGGTGAATATGGGTGAGTTTAGGGTCCGGGAAGGTGAATATAGGTGGGTTTAGGGTCCGGGAAGATGAATATGGGTGAGTTTAGGGTCCGGGAAGGTGAATATAGGTGGGTTTAGGGTCCGGGAAGGTGAATATGGGTGAGTTTAGGGTCCAGGAAGGGGAATATGGGTGAGTTTAGGGTCCGGGAAGGTGAATATGGGTGAGTTTAGGGTCCGGGAAGGTGAATATGAGTGAGTTTAGGGTCCGGGAAGATGAATATGTGTGAGTTTAGGGTCCGGGAAGGTGAATATGAGTGAGTTTAGGGACACGAAAAATGTAAATTCTTCAGCTTTGGGTGCATTTTAATGCCTGCCAACGAAAAGGGAAATGTTTCGTCAACAGACTGAAAAAATAACATGCACTATGCAACAGGTAGCGAGTTCTTTTGCACTATGCTTGCAACAGGTAGTGAGTTCCTTTGCACTATGCAACAGGTAGCGAGTTCCTTTGCACTATGCAACAGGTAGCGAGTTCCTTTGCACTATGCAACAGGTAGCGAATAGGTAGCGAATTCCAACACTTCCTTTGATTTGTCCTCCTGGTCGTGGTTTGAATTAAACCTTCCCAATACCTACCAAGCAATAGCACATTATTATACCAAGGATCTTCACCTTTAGTTATTTTTCAGGATATTTTTAACGCGATTATTAGCGCGGCCTAATTCTTCTTTCATTGGTAATGAAGAACCAACGAGCGTCGGGATTTCCTTCGATAAGAATTATAGTTCTTGGTAATCCATTTGTCATTGTGATTTTAGCTGTTAATTCAATTGAACTAACAACTTCTAAATTTCAAACCAGGCAATATTTTAATGATAATGGAATGTAGAATACGTTCAAAATGTCACGGAATTTTCCCATAAAAAGCTATGTGTAGTATATCTCTACTAATGAGAATTATTAACATAAATCATTATTCCAAAACGACACATAATCCCAAGATCTCTAAATATTGAAGTTGAAAATCTGAAAAATAGATCGAAGAAAGCTCGGTTTAATTGCTTGTAGATAATGGTTCATGAACTGCTCCTATGAATTAAGGTTTGCCCGATGTCATGTCATCATTTGATAAATAAGTTGAGATATGCTATCCATACGCCCCATGGGATGAGAGAGCTGAACAAGTGATTAGGTATTAAGTGAAACTTAATTATGCTCAGAAATGTTCTAAATTGAGCTTGCATGTCCCAGTCGGCATTATAAACTGTTCAGTTCGAACGGAAGATGATTTGATTTAAGTTAATGATGGCACGGTGATTGATGACGATTTTTTGAGTAGTACTTATCTAGCCAAATGTTGGAATGACATTTATGTGAAATCTAATTTGCTATTAAAATTTGCAAGCCTAAGAAACTTACGTTTTTACTTTGCATCCATATAAGGATGAGATAAATTATTATTTTGAAGTCATTTGATGGCATATCCTTGGTAGCATATAAGCGCGCTTCATCTAATCGCAGCGCTTATCTAAACCCAGCTGGGACTCTAATGGACGCGTTTCATCTAATCCCAGTACACATAGCGTTTACCAAGAGAATCT